AGCTTTCATGGTTTTAAACGTAAGAAGAAGGGGGAGATTGAGAATGGAGGGGGAATTCTCAGTAGCAAGAAAAGGAAATCTTATCATCTAACAGCTCACTTTCACAGCTACCTGTCTCTTCCAGTGAGACAGTTTGACTCCTACCTGTCTCTTCCATTTAGACACTTTGACTGCTACCTGTCCCTTCTAGTGAGACACTTTGACTGCTACCTGTTCCTTGTTGTAAGACATGTTCAATGCCACCTGTCTCTTTTTATTATGACACTTTCACCACCAACTGTTTTCTCTATTACACTTTCACTATAAGCTGTCTGTTCCTGCAACTGAGACACTTTCACTATCACCTGTTTCTTCCATTGCACTTTCACTATAATCTTTCTTTTCTGGTGAGAGAGTTTCACTATCTTTACAGTAATTCATTTATTGTATTCAATAAACCTGGCATGTCCAGCTGTCATTACCAGCAAATTCTCAGTGGGACAGCGTCTGTAAGAAATTTATGGGAAATGTCTGCCTGGATGGCAGTATGGTAAGTATTATAACCACCGAACTCTGCAACCAAGGATAAGATAAAGGAGGAGAGATGGTCGTTATTAGATTACGCCCCACCAGTGATGCTCAATGGACAAGGACACAGATATAGAACATCTCATGGAATCAGTGATCTGAAAGTTAACTGATCACATAGGGACCCCCTCTCTGGACCTGTTTATTGCTATTCTTCTTCCTCAAATGATTGGATTTCCAATGTACCAACTTTAATACCATCTTCTCCATCGAATTCCTAAACTGTACTCCTCGAATACATGTTTGTGGCAATATGTCCTCATTTACTAACTTTTAATTTGACTTCTTTATAAACACTCAAAGTGATTCACTAAATCCCAAATGTCAGAAAATTAAGCCTGGTGGCAAAATTATGGATAATACAGCTGATTTAGAAATAATCTTTAACTCAACTCTAGACACAGCTTGGCCCTTTATCCTCACTTTTAATTTACTAAAATGTGATGTTTAGTAAATAACCCTGACTATTTTTCTTCCACATAATACAGGTTGATGCCCT